CATGCATAATTTATCCTTATTGGAAGATATGGATTCTGAAGTGGGTGATGCTAGTATCATCTTCAGGTCAGTTATCTTAATACTGTATGTGAAATTTAGAAGCTGAAAATTTACCCTTTTGATCACTCGGTGATCATGATCTATGTGTTAATGAAAGTAAACAGCCTTGGACTTAATGAAGTCAATGACGTTGATGGTTTTGCGTCATCTTATTCGACAATGGCTCATTTGCTTCAGGCTTTGATGGCAATGGTTACATTGTGTGTAACAATTGCTCCATCTAGTGGTTTGATTAAGTATAGTGATGGCATAAAGACGTCAAAAATTCAAATGCCAAAACACCTTGCTTTTACGTAGCAATTCAGTTAATTACGTGTTCAAAAAATGCTATCACTGTGGCAAATTGGCCTCCCCATTTCCATAAATTATGCCCAGCAACATTTTAAAAATAATAGTCTGATAATTTGGTTTTTTCATTCATTCACGGATGTGGGCCAAAATTTATTGCTAATTACTATTTGAACTGACTGGCCTGCTAATGCCTTTTCAGAGGATTGTCAAGAAACAACCACATTGCTGTGATTCTGGAGTCACACGTGGACTAGACCAGAAAAGGATGGCAGATTTTCTTCCCGACAGGGAATTAGTGAACCTGATGGTTTTGTGTGACAATTCACAATAGTTACATAGTTACCATGAGGTGAGCTTTTAATTCCAGATTTTCTTTCAAATTTTGACCATCTGCCCTGGCAGGATTCAAACCCAAACCCCTAGAATGTTAGTCTGGGTCTCTGAATTACTAAGCCAGCGATAATACCATTGTGCCATGGCCTTCCTGGTGACCACGTACCAAACAAACTAGGAGCAAAAGTAGGCCATTCGACCCCTTTGAGCCTGCTCCACCATTCATTATAATCATGCTGATCATCAAGATCAATACTCTAATCTCGCCCTTCTCCCATATCTCTTGATCCCTTGAGTCACAAGAGCTATCTACCTCCTTCTTCAAAAAGTGTGTTTTGGCCTGAACCATCTTCTGTGGTTGTGAATTCCACAACAGCCCTGGAGTAAAGAAGTTTCTTTTCCCTTCAGTCCCAAAAGGTTTACCCCTTATCCTTAAACCATAACTCCTTACTTCTGGACTTGCCCACCATCAGAAGCATCCTTCCTGCATCTAACCTGTCTGGTCCTCTTAGAAATTCTATGGGATCATCCACACACCCCCAACTTTATTCTTCTCGATTCCGGTGACAACAATCCCAGCCAACTCAATCTCTCATCATACATCAGTCCTGGAATCAATTTGGTAAACCTTCAGTGCACTCCCTCTATACCAGAAACATCCTCAGATAAGGAGACAAAAATTGCACATAATATTCCATGTGTGGCCTTACCAATACCCTGTATAATAGAAACAAGACGCCCTTGCTACTAATCTTGAATCTTTTCACTATGAAGGCCAACATAGTTTGCGTTCTTTACTGCCTGCTGCACCTGACTCATAACCTGGCTAGAGTTTTAAGTTTTTAAAAATCTCTCTCTCTCTCACACACACACCTGATATTAGACACAAGCATATGGGTGGTGAAGGAAGAAACAAAGCCAGAGCTGCACCAATTCGAATGTTGATGAGCTGTTCTCTTTCAGTTCCTTTTGATTCTGAGTATGTGATGTATGGTGGATACACTGATTTTCAGTCTTTCATTCAATGTTGAAAATTTCCCCCTTTGTGTCACTGAAAGTGTTTTTGGCCCTCTTTCTTTCAGCAAGAGTAGTTTATAGAGAAATTGAGAGTGAGGACAGCTGTTGAAAGATTTTCTGTTACTTCTCCGCACAAGAGGGAGATAGCATGCTCTGGATGCTTCTGCTCCGTCATCCACACCTAAGCCTGCGCCACCTGCCCAGAACTAATCAAGTGGCTGTAACCGTACTGAGCGTTCCTGAACCAACAACAACTGGTCAATTGAAATCAAAGAAATGTCTCTGGTCGAAACTGCCCCTAGTTTATACACACAAATGCACACTCAGCCAGTAGATCAAGCATCCTTCTCCACAAACATTATTCAAGCACATTGTGTTTAGTATCTACAATGAGTTCCAGTAAAACTCCAACAGCTTCTCCCTCAGTTTTCTTGGTTCAAAGCTGTACCTTTCCCCATTTTTAGTCCAGTCAAAAAAGTAAAAGTGGTCTTTACAATGTACACCCCAAGTTCCACTTCTTTGGAATTACCATTTTAATAAATATTACCAGCCTTCAGTGAAAGCACCAGTCATTCATTTCTACTTACCTTCTACTTGGAGCAACTATCTCTCAAAGCATGCAGTACTTTGAGTACCACTTGATCTCAAGGATAGCATTCTCCATCACGTGGTGCATAACTAAGAATATTTTCTCTCTCATATACAACATTGCTAACCTCTTTGGTCATTTTCTTTAGTGTTGAAAACACTAGTCTATCTTAATCACCTCTTTTTGCAGTGCGTTCCTCACTTACCTCCTTCGTTCTATCACATTGATAAAATGTCACTCCGACAGTTCTGGCCTGTGTTCTCATCCATACAAAGACTCACATCACCAAAGCACTAAGCTCTTGCTAAGCTTGCAAAGTTTTAGCACATTTGAAAGAATGAACTAAAAACTTTTTACATTCAGGATTCCCATAATGTAATCTCCAATGTCTGCAATCACTCTTGTAATATATGTACAACTTTCTGTAGCCTCAGATTCTCTACTTCTGGTCTGTCTTTCACTTTCTGTCCTCTCTGCTTCATTGTTGCTGACTTGCTCTTTCTACTATTTCCTGTTTCCACTCGAACTCTCACTCAACATCATCACCTTTTTCTTCGCTTTCAATCACTGCTAAAGATCCTCCTCTGATTCTCATTTGTTCTTTCCTTTCACTTTGTGAATTCTCTACCACCTTTGAAAAGTACTCAGAGAATGTGTGCAGTCAGTGTTAATGAAATGTCATGATAATATTTCATTCCCTACCTTGCAGCTAACCATTGAGCTGACAAGACAAAACCCTCTGGTATGATAAATGTCAGGACTTTTATTATTACAGATATATTAATTATAAAAAGCACTGGTGATTTTATTATGGTACATATTTTATCCAAAATTCAGTAGTGTAGACAGTCATCTGAATACAACAATATCAAATGGTGAATTATTATTAGGTGTTGATAAATTTCCGAATTTTACAGAATGCTGCCAGTAAACTACACCTATTGTATTTACATATCATCCCATGAGTCACCAGACTTCACATTGAGCTGAACTACATGATAATTCTACTTATTAACTAAACAGACAGACAGAGCTGGTTGGGAAGTTTTAAAGTATTCAGAATGAGCATAGACACATAAATGGTAGTATTAAAGCAGCATTTGCAAAGCTGATTTGACGTGAGTTTCAGTGTTGTATTACAAAAAAGATTACAGTGCAAAGTAGTCCAAATTAGATGCTGTATAACAGAATTCTTCTGCAGGCTGCATTCAAAAAGCAGAAATATCGAATTAAACAATTCGTTGCATAGATACCAGTAAGTAGAAACTTCAGTTTGTCACTATTATCAGCACTTACTCTCAACATTTCTGGCTGAATAACTCTCAATCACGTTGTAAAGCTTCATTTTTTAAAAAAAATAATTCTATGTAATATTATACAGATCCAATGTTTATATATTTCAACAAGCACTTTGCAGTTGAAATGGCACAAGTCAAAGAACAAAAAATTTAATTAGTGATGCTGCTAATTAATCTAGAAGTTGAGTGAAGTTCTATTATGGTTTAAGTACAGTAGTTCTAGATGGCAACAAATTATAATATAAAATGTCGATAAGTTTAACAATGAATAAATGAGTTTTGTTGTCATTTACATATATTGAGTGTTCTTCATAATCTGTTTTTTTTTTCTAAAATAAACAATAAGTCACCATTGCCAACATTTTTGATGTACCAGTATAAAATACCAAACCCACACTGCATCACCAAACCAAGTACAGTACATAGCACAACCCCGTTTACTTAAATACAATGAAGGCTGGTCAAAATAGATTTTATATTAATATACAGTTCTTTTCAAAATTATATTACAACAAAATATCTTTTAAAAAGCACATCAGTCCAGTGCCATTCTTTAGTTTTTGTTTTAAAGGAGTTCTAGATTTGTTAAGTACAGCAGCATTGGTCAGTAAAGTTACATCTTTGTAAAATAACAGTTTATCTTACGGCATAGTTGTTGTCAGTTAAAAATCTGCAGCATTTCCAGAATAATTTAAAATGTTTAAAATGTACAGTTGTAATTCAAAACTATTCACAACTATTGTTATTGTGTATGTTCCAGTTAAATTGTGGATCTATTATGTATACTAGCTCCAGTTGATACTCATGGTATATCAGGGTTTTCCTTCAATTGTAAAAGTAATTTTCTTCAAAATTTAAAGCTCAACATGAATACAAAAGGAGACATTCATGTTGATCTACAGTCACTGAAAATCACAGAATCCCTACAATGTGGAAACAGGCTATTCGGCCCAACAAGTCCACATTGACCTTTTGAAGGCATTCCACCCAGACCCATCCCCCTATCCCTTTAACCTACACATCCCTGAACACTATTAGCAATTTCGCATGGCCAATTCACCTAACCTGCACATCTTTGGACTGCGGGAGGAAACCGGAGCACCCAGAGGAAACCCATGCAGACACGAGGGGAACATGCAAACTCCACACAGACTGTCACCTGAGGTAGGATTCGAACCCAGGTCCTTAGCGCCGTGAGGCAGCAGTGCTAACCACTGAGCCACTGTGCCACCCTGTTTAATTCTGTAAAAAAACAATAGTTCTTGTCACCCTTAAAATTCACAATTAAGATAGCACAGCTATTGGGGTTGCAGCATTGAGTTCTGAATAATGCATGTAAGCATGTTCTTTTATTTCATTTTCAAATTTATTTGACAATAATATTTTAGTTATATACTAGTGTAGTATTTTAGATAATTGTTAAAATAAACATCCTAATTGTGTTAGATGCCACTTATATCATAGGGAAGCAGTAAAAATATTTTAAAATTACGCTTTAAAAGATTTTTATTCTGCTTCAAATTCAAATTTTTTAAAAATCATGGTTCTTTCCAAAATTGACCTGTTACATACCAGAATGTTTAAAATTGTTCGCTTTTAGTGAGGACACCTAACTTCAGAGTAATACATCAGTTCCTTAAATGTAAAATCCAAAAGACAATAAAAACAATTCTCTAAGTTTTCTTTGTCTAACCAACAATTCTGTTCCATGTGACGTGAAGGCATGAGTATTGATAATATACATATTCTAAATACAAGGCTACATTTTTCAACACAGAGAAATCAATTCAAGAGTCATCTTATTTCTGCTGAGAAATAAAGCTGCATTCATTTTTAATAAATAACTACATTTCCCAAATTCCCAAGCATTCTGGAGCAGTAAATTTATCAGCAATCTGTAGCCACAACTTGTAGATTAGAAAAACAAGTAGTAAGAAAGGCTGGGATCCTTTACAGCAGACCTTGATACATTTGCCACTTAGTAGCTGTGTGTTACATGTGGATTCTTTACGTACTCTTATAGGTATTAGTTATAATGGCTGGTTTCCAGTATGGTAGGAGGTAGCGGATTAATTGTCAATGATACTCACAGTAACTATCTTGTTAAAGTTCAAACTATCCCTTACAACGGTGCCATTACATGTATATCGTACAGCTCCATTGGAGTTTATTCTTTGCACTGATTTGAGAGTCGGCTTCCCACACTGTAGCCTAAGTTCTGAAGCTCAGCTTTGCTCCAATTGACTGGCTCACTCAACTTCAATTTTTTTTTTTGAGTGATAGCCCTTAATTAGTACGAGTCAGGGCTTCCATCTGTCCCCAAATGGGTGGCAGTAACTTTGCGCCACACTGGGATTGGTGGCTACAGCTAGTGCTGTAGAAGGCCTGACACAAAACAGAACCATGCATACCTCCACATTCAGCTAAGTCAAGGGTCTTACTTGGGTTGACAGGCCCTGGTGAAGGGGGCATGGCTGCTTTTCAGATAGGGCATGGGTACAGGTGGACGTGGGGAAATAAAAAGCATGGGGTCTGGGAATGAGGCAGTCCCTCACCACTTTTCATTGACCAGCAGCCTTCCTGGTTAAACATGACAGGCTACATGTTTGCTGCAGACCTAAGCTGCCTTTAAATCTTGTGGCAATGGAATGAAACCCTTAATGGGATTTAGTCAGTCAGTCAGTCATTCACCTAGCACCTCAATTGGGCCATAAGCAGACACGCTACCCAACATCAACATCACCCCCACCCCCACCCCCTCCTTCCAAAGAGGGAGCTGGCAGGCAAGGCATGGCCCTAATTTACAGGTTTATCTGCTTACCTTCCTGCCATTGGTGAATCTGCAAGAGACAGCCAAATGTGTGACAGTTTGTTAATTGTTTGGTAAAATGCCCCTAATTTTAGAAGAACATGGAATTGCTCAGAAACAACAAGACCAAGGCCAACTAAGTTCCTGATAGCCCTGTCAAACTATGCTATGATTAGTCTACAGCTCCAATATCAAGCAATTTCTGTCAATTAATATAAAACAGCTCCAGAAATGAGATAGAAACAATTGTGCCATGAAAATCATAGAACAAATCTACATACTGTTACAAAAACAAATCTTCCTCATTGTTGTTAATGCAAATCAGAGGAAATGGTGATTTTCAAGCAGGTGTTAGCTAAAGACAAGCAGCACATTTCTCTGCAGTTCTGTCCTTTCAGCATGTTCCAAAACCAAGCCAAAGTTACTGCGATTAGAATGCCCCATCTCAATCATAAAGTGAGTGGTTGCTTTGCCTAAACCAGATGGCATGGTGACAAGACTTCGAGTTTGTAGGTCATGGCCACACTTTGTTTGAGTCTGCGATCGTAGGAGGGCCTCTTCTACTCAAGAGTCCTGCAGATCTACTGAGACATTCTTGCACCGTATGTTTGATCGAGATTTTGCAAATCTGAAATAAAAAACAAAGCGATAATTTCATTTCTTTTTACTAAGACCATTATGTTCAGGTCAATTTACAAATTCATACTGCCATTATGGAACTTTCTCCACTGCAAGTGTGTGTCAGAAATGTGAGATGCCCACAATTTCCTGTGTATTAGAATTGAATTAAGCCTTATTTAATACCCTTTAAGATGCTAGATTGCATCCTGAAGCCATGTACATAAAACAAGTCATTGAAATAATCAAACACCGAAATTGAACATACTTGTATCAATTTAAACAAAAAAAAACAAATTCACATTTACATGGCATCTTCTGCAGGATTTCCCAGTGCAGTTCCAAGCCAAAAATGTATTTTGCGTTTAATCTAGGTTGTAATGTAGGAACTTCAATATCCAATTTTCATACGGAAAGGACCCACAAGCATGACCAGATAATCAGGTGTAGAGCTGGATGAACACAGCAGGCCAAGCAGCATCAGAGGAGCAGGAAAGCTGACGGTTCGGGCCTAGACCCTTCTTCAGAAATGAATTTCTGAATTCATTCAGAATTTCTAAAGAAGGGTCTAGGCCTGAAACATCAGCTTTCCTGCTCCTCTGATGCTGTTTGGCCTGCTGTGTTCATCCAGCTCTACACCTTGTTAACTCACCATAGTGTTGCCTGGGATGGAGCATATCAGAGATGCTGGGTAATCTTGGGCTGTTTTCTTTGGAGTTAAGGAGGTTGAAGGGGGACCTGATAGAGATGTAATAGATTATCAGTGTCATGGACAGGGTGGACAGAAAGGGGATGTTTTCCTTAGCTGAAGGCTCAATAACAAGACGGCACACTTTTAGGGTGAAAGGTAGGAGTTTTAGAGGAGACTTAAGGGAATGCTTTTCTCCCAGGCACAGGAGGTTTCTGGAATACACTGCCTGGGATGATAGTTGGGGCAGGTAACCTCACAACCTTTTAAAAACAAAAAAGGTACTTGAATGAGCTCTTGAAGTGTCATAATCTGGAGGGTTCTGGGCCTAATGTTAGAAAGTGGGACAAGTGTAGATTCAGTGTACTTTTGGTGGTACAGACTTGATGCACCAGTGAACCTTTTCTGTACTGTATGATTCTATGATTCTAAATTCAACATCTTGCCTGCAAGACAGCATGTCTGTAATGTAACACTCCCTCATACTGCAGTGGAGTGTCACCTTAGACTTTATGCTCAAATCTCTACAGTGTGACTACAATCCACATCCTATTGGTTCAGAAGCGAGTGTATTACCACCAAGCATATAGCTACCTGAACCAAATTTAAAATTTAACAATTTGTGTTTCAATTGTACTTCTTTTAGCTTGAATGATCAACATTCTCAATCCCTATTCCCAGCAAGGAGACAGGTTCCAAGGCAGTGTGACTCAAAAGACCATTGCTACAGTTTCATTGGCCCTCACTCCCAATGGATGCATCAGTTTGCACTGTCGTTTATATATCTTCAATCATTAATCACACAATTCAGTGCAAATAACTTCTAATTTACCTCAATTTCCTTTACCAATCAAGATTCTTTTGGACATAAACTAGTATCAGCCTGGAGGTTATGCCCTCTGGTCCTAGACTCTCCCACAAGGGGGAAACAAACTTTCCATATCTACCCTATCAAGTCCCCTAAGAATCCTGTATATTTCAATTAGTTCACTTCTCATTAGAGTCATAGATAATACAGCATGGAAAGGCCCTTTGGCCCAAACTGGTCCATGCTGACCATGATGCCCACTCCGTTCCAATTGCCCACATTTGGTCCATATCCCTCTGAACCTTTCCCAATCATGTACCCGTCCAAATAGTTTTTAAAATGTGGTTGTTGACTTGCTCGTGGAGCTGGTAAGTTTGTTTACAGATGTTTCATCACCACACCAGGTAACATCATCAGCGTGCCTCTGGTGAAGCCTTTGTTTAGTCGACCTACCAGGACGGCTTTTTCAATGTCTGAGTGTGGCCGGTCAGATAGGCTCCTTATCCAAGTGTCTGCCCGGTCTGTGTTGTCGTTGTGTGTAAGTTTCGTCAGTTTTTCCTGTAGGGCTTGTCTTTTCTTGGTCTTGGTCTTCTATTGTTTCATGATAATGGCTCGTTCTAGTGTTGTGGTCAAGTTTGAATACAAAGTTTTTTGGCATACAATTTCTGGCTCATATTTGTGATGGCAGTTGTGAGCATCAGTAATCATGATCTGTAGCATTCTGCAGCTGTTCTATTCAGCTGTTTTCCATGCTTGTGGGTTGTTTAGCAGTGGCTTGTATTTTACACTGTTTTTTTAAATGATGCTATTGTACCTGCCTCGACCACTTTCTCTGGCAGCCCATTCCATATACACACCACTCTCTGCGTGAAGAAGTTGCCCCTCAAGTCCTTCTTAAATCTTTCCCTCTCACCTTAAACCGATGTCCTCTAGTTTTCAATTCCCCATCCCTGGGAAAAAGACGATATGCATTCATCCTATCAATGCCCCTCATGATTTTATATTCATGAATAAGGTCACCCCTCATTCTCCTACATTCCAAGGAATAAAGTCCTATCCTGTCAAACTCTCCCTATAACTCGGGCTTGAGCCCTGGCAACATCCTCGTAAATCTTCTGTGAATGTCTCCAATGCTAGTTCTCGAGGCTTAAGCCAATATCACAATGCCGTGTAGTAAAGCCTCTCATGATGAACTTTCCAGTTTAACTATGTCTTTCCTATAACAGGGGCACGAAAACTTTATACAATACTCCAAGTGTGGCCTCACCAATGACTTATACAACTCCAACATAATGTCCCAACATAATGCCTCGATCAGTTGAGGCATTCTTCTGAACTTTGTCTCTCCTCATAAGAGGGTTCCTCCATACCCGGGATCAACTCTGTGAACCTTTTCTGGATTGCTCCAACATTAATGTATCTTTTCTTAGATATACCCACTTTACCTTTAACGGCCAAATATCTGAACAGATCAACGGGACACCTATGGGATCCCCTATCTCTGGACTAATAGCTGAAGCAGTGATGCAAAGACTCAAAAGCATGGCCCTTCCACTAATCCAACCGAAACTATGGATACAACACCTTTGTAATTATTAAACGGACCAAACTAGAGGACACACACAAACTAATAAACAACACTCTCACCGGGATCAAATTCACCAAGAGGAAAACAACAAATAGCTCCTATTCCTGGACATCATGGTGGAACGCAGGCCCAACAGGGAATTCCTAACAAAGGTACACAGGAAAGCCACACATGCTGACCAAGTACTGAATTTCAACAGCAACCATCCTAATTCCCACGAACGAAGTTGCATAAAAAACTCTACTTAAACGGGCAATAACACACTGCACCAATACAGAACTACGCCAAAAAGAAGAAAGAACCTCCAAGTATTCAAGGACAATGAACACCCGAAAAACTGGGTCAGAAAATGCCTATTACACAAATGACACCGGGAAGATACTGCATGCCCTGAAACACTCATCACGCTACCTTACACCAAGAACACATCTGAACTGACCACAAGACTCCAAGACCACTGGGCATCAGAGCAGCATGCAAACCCACATAATCCTATGCCAACTGCTAACCCAAACCAAAGACCCGTTACCCACTATGGACAGGATCAATGTCATGTACAAGATCGCCTGCAAAGACTGTGACAAACATTACATTGGACAGACAGGAAGAAAATTAGCCACAAGAGAACACAAACATCAACTAGCAACAAAAAAAACACAACCAACAGTCACTCATCTCTATCCACATTGATAAGGAAAACCACCAGTTTAATTGGGACAACACTAGGATCCTGGGACAGGCCAAGCAGAGACAAGCACAGGAATTCCTAGAGGCCTGGTTCTCCACTAAGAAGGCCATCAATAAACACATAGAGCTAGACCCTACATATACTCCACTGCGAAGGAAAACCGGAAGTGAAGTAACCCAGCTCAATGGACACCAGAGTTTAAACAACAGGCGGGAAAACACAACAACACTTCATCAGAGGCTACACTGATGATGTTACCCAGCAGGGTAATGAAACATCTGCGGAATAACAAACCAGCCTGGCGAGCCAACCAACCATAACTTCCACAACCCGAGCTACAAATCTACTCAAAAACCTTAGAAATCATTTCCTATGTTCACACACTAAAATTTATCACTCATATGATGTACCACAGTTTCAGGCATTTGTGGACAATAGAATAGAGGATGAGTCAGAACTGGGAAGAAATGAAATTACATCACATATTGAAAAATCACTAAATTTTAATCAATAGAAAATATATCTGTTGGAGTAAGTTATGCAAACTGAGAGCACAGCATAGCATACAAGTAGTTTATAAATTTTCCTGATTTTTCTCAAAATGTTGGGCAAAACTACATTTTTATGGTTGAGAGCATAATGTTTTGATATTGTTTCTGCACAGGCTCAACAAGGGCAAAGTGTTATTTTTCATTTACATCAAACTTCATGTACAAGAAGAGAAATTGACATTAAAATGCCAAGGTTCAGACACCATCATTACACTGCAGGCAAAAAGATTGGCAGTTTGCAACATCAGACTAAAATGCAAGGCCTGTACAGCAGAAAGTACAACAATACAATCCACTAGGGGACAGCAGACATCAGTGCACCACAAGCACTGATGTTTTGTTTTTCATGTGGTATATTCGTAACTAGAATTTTACAATTCATACAATTTTCTGAAAGACAGTGTTGGTGACAATAAAACAAATTCCAGACCAGCAACAATGAACAGACATCTGTCACAGCAGGACTTGTGCTCAGAAGGACTTGGTAGCGATCCCAAACCAGAGGCACCACAGCTACTTTAAATTTTCATACCTCTACCTCATTTTAAGGACAAGCAACCTCCCAATCCTCGATCTATAAATTCATTTGGGTTGAAATTGATTCCATTTTCTCCAGAGCACAGCTGTACACGTCTATCCCCAGTGATGTGCTGGGACAAGCAGCTGGGCAGTGGGATTCTTCACCAT